TATCTTCACTGGTGTCTGGTTTAGATCCTTGGAACTTGTTGAGATCAGAACTTAGTACTCAAGCAATGATATTTTATTCTTTAGGTTAAAATTATTTTTATATTTATATATATATACACTAAAAAAAAATACAAAAAGACTTCTGTATACATTTCTGTTTTACTTTGCATCCAGAATGGTCTGACTCAATACAGATAGTTCACTGTGTCATTACACCCCACTTGCAGAACACATCCTTTTATCATACCACACAACCCAGTTCTCCAGATACTGAAGTTCAGATGCATTCCATAGTGTAGTGAGTGCATTTTCGAGTCAGAAAGTATGAAATGATTGATGTCCTTCTAAGCTAGAAAGTGTGCATAAAGCAAAACAGCCCCTTCTGCTACTAACACATTCTGTTGGAGAACTGACTTAATGCTATGAGATATATATATATTTTTTTTGTATCAGCTCCACATCCTTCCCTGTTCATTTATTAAATTTATTCACTGTTCCTTAATTTTGTGAAGTACCATTTTCTTGTTGATTTTTCTTCAGTTTTTTCACCTTTGGTGAAAAGTATGTATAATTGCAGAGGGTTTCCTACAATCCAATGTTTTCATTCCTGGCAGTTTTTTTTTCAGTTCAGACTTGCCTGCATCATGGAAAAAAATTATAAGACTTGAATGTGTACATACATGTGAGTAGAGATTCTGAAGGAAATACAGATATAGAAGCTCAGTCTTCTGAAAGATGTTATCTACAAACTCTTATTTGCAAGGCTATACCTTCTGTAGGAGTTGTGAGCTCCTGCAGCCTTCAGTGCCAACCCATTTCTTGTTATAAGCAGCTGGGTCTCGCATCTTACTGTAGCACTGATTTTTCTCAATGCGGTGTGAAGAACAGGAACATATAAAATGACTCAAATATCCTTTCTAGATGCTTCCCTCCTATCCCCTTCTGACCTTAAGTAATTCCACAGAAGGTTGTGGATGACTGCCATTTTCATGGAAAATGAAAACAGGATACAGGCAGATTCTTCTTTTCAGTCTCTGGCTATGTAGAAATCTCTTGCCAGTGTTCCTTTCCTTTTTCCCTCAAAGTCTATGGCTTTGTCTGCAATATTATTTACCCGTGTTATTAATCAGTACCTATCTGGTCTGAATTACAGAGTACAATGCTTGTCATTCCTTAATGTTATTTTTTAAATTAAATTATCCCACAACCCTCAGTCTTTTCTTGCATATGTAAAATATTCTGATCAGAAAATGATCCCCTTTTGATTTCAAAGAGAAATCTTTAAAGCTCTGAGTTGCTTCACACTCCTAAGTACATTTCCTAAAATTAGCTAGTTTCACTGGAGCATACTTTATTACACACCATAGTCATTTCATTGGCAAAGATGAGGAAGTGCTGAGTATTTTCAACTGTACTGTGTAAGTCTAATTAAGGTAATGGAAATTTAATGAAATTGTACTATGAAAAGTTAAAGCACATGAATTATTCTAGCTGTTCAGTATAACTTCATAGGTGGAAACTTGTTAAACTGCTGTAATTTGGTTGCTGTGGAGTTCTGTGGTCATAACATCAATGTCCTCATGACCCTATGTACCATGTAGCCTGCTGCAGCCCCCCGAGAAATGGGACAAGTGAGCTGGCTAAGAGTTGGATCCACTGTAATAAGATTATAGCACAGCTGTACAGGCCAGAATAAGCTCAAATGAGCAGCTATTTAAAGCAGGGAAGAACAGAGAATAAGAGCAAACAGAAAACTTGTCCAGCTCTCTTAGTTTTTTTACTACCCTGGTAGGCAGTGTTGCTTGGAATGCTTTCTGACTGTTTAGCTTCAGGGAGGGCACAGCCCTTTCTTTCCCCTTTATCCTCTGCTTTCTCTTCTTCCTGCAAAGTTTAATGATTCAATGTATACTTTAGGGTATAACTGTAAGCTTTGATCCTACACTTGGCTTGGAATGAATTAACTTGAAGCTTACTGGTAACAGTTGGTAATAACTGGTAACAGTTATTTGCAACACAATTATTTCCACAGGAGACCTAGTCTGTATTTACTTCACTTTTAACAGCCTCTGATGGCTTAACGTGATATATCCAAATCACATCATTAAGCCAAAGCAAATATAGCATTAAAGAAAATACATTTGGATAATATACATGTATAATAATAGATATCAAGATATTATAATCACAATATAATTGTATAGTCAATAGATATCAAGATGTTATAATCACAATATAATCAAGAGAGTCAGGCAAAGTAGATAATGATAACAAAAAGAGAATAAGTGGAAGAGCTTACCCTTCAGCTGGGCTCACCACAAGACACCAAGAGAGGGGATCTCCAGATGAGATCCTTCCCCTCTGGTAGCCAGCTCTTAAATAGGTCTAGGAGGGGTAGAGCCTGGCTCCACCCCTTCCAGCAGCACAGGTGAATTGCCTTCAGCTGTGCTCCTCTGGCTGACTCACAGCTCGCCTCAGGTGATCAATCAGAGGTTCAGGCCGTGACTCAGCAGTTCCCATACATACACATCACTTCTTTCTTTATTTCCACTGTTATTCTCTTGCTCTTGCTCTCGTCTCAAATGGCACAAAGTCACCAGTGATGCACTGCTCTGGGATCCATCTTCCTTGGCGCTCTCAGCACTCTATCAGCTGTGTATAGAGGATCTGAATTCTCCAGCTCTGTCTAGTATCCCTGGTCATGACCCCACTTCCATAATATGCCACAATTCCAGAGTATTTCATTCTGTCTGACAAACACTTTGGAACAGAGTGCTTTCCTCTGCTGCCCTGGAATACTGTTGGTCTGGGTTCTGTTGTTGCTGTTCGCTGTTTTATTTTTTCTCTTGTGATGGGAGATTATGCTAAAGTATATTGTTAATTTTTCCTGAGGGAGAGTTCAGTGACTTATAAATGCTCATCTGGTCATAGCACTCATCTGCAGCCAACAATCTAAATGCAAAGTTATTATTTTAAAGAGATCTTGGCACTTGTTTGGGTGTATTGAGAAAGAAGATAAAAGTACTAAAAACTAAAAGTACTAAAACACTAAAAGTCTCACACATTTTGTTACATTACATTTATAACATTAAGGTTTTTAAAATCAGCTAGGAGGTTTGGAGTTAAATTTTACTCTCAGCATCTCAGATGTAGCCAAAATGAAAATTCCTAAATTCTCCATATTTGGATTTATTTTATTTTCTGTTAAATGGACGTGAGACTTGAAATGTAGTTAAGAGTATAAATGAAAAATATTAAAGGAAGATTACCTAGTAAAAAATAAATGTAGAAATATACACATCCTTCCTCTCCAGTGCCCTTCATACTGAACCGAAAGCAGAAAAGCACACCTACAGTGTTCTAATTTAGGTCTTTGGCCATTGAGTTCCACAGAAGGTCAGTTCTGTGAATGTCACTGATACAATCATTAGAGTACTCATACATCTAAAACAGAATTTGGAGAAGAGATTTGAAAAGGACAGGTTAGTTTGAATTAAGTACAACTTGACCAGACATCATAGTAAAGGTTACAGACTTCATTGTCATGGTCACAAGAGAAATGTTAACCCTGATATCAGTAGGACTTATTGTTACATTTCTCTAATTAGACAGCCAGATCCTTTTTAAAATGAAGCATAGTTATACTATATTTTTTAAAGTATTGAAATACTCTCATGCAGTACAATGCAACAAGGAATAGTGGAGGATGCAGGGGTTCCCCATGTGTTTGAGTATGCCACCAGGGGGGACTCCTTCCTCATCTATTTCATTTATGGCAGTAACTGTGAGAGAAAACACGTAGCTTTGAACCCGATCTGGAATGTCACTGGATTCAATGAAGTGTTTGTCTTCATTTCAGTTGTGAGAGTTTTTATATATGACCTTGTAAATCTGCAGAGTTCTTTCTAATGAGTCCATCACTTACTCAACATGCTGTGCAGTGAAGCAAGTACCAGACTAGCAGCAGAGGGGCACGTGTCCAGTGGGGTCATCTCATGTCAATGCCATACAGTCAGTGCAGTCTCCCAACTACTTAAAACTGGCCTGTGACTTTTGCTGGATCTGTTGAGTCTTCTGTCAGTCCTGGCTTGTTCTCTGACTGATTAGTCAATGGCCAGAGTTTGTTATTTAAAACAAATATTTTCTTTTGACACAGGTATGAGGTAGCTACACTTCAGCATCTCATTATTCTCATTATTTCTTTTTCCAGCTACTACAGCATCCTAGCTATTACAGCATCCTGATTTATTTTTATTTGCAACTGTGGTTGCAAATGGTTTGCATGTTTTATAGTGTCCTGTTAAACAACAGCTGAAGTCTGTGTGGGGTGTATGTTCTCTGTCAGGGAAATTGTATAACGCTGAAGTCATAGAATCACAGAATGGGTTGGGTTGGAAAGGATCTTATAGTTCATCTGGTTCCAACCGCCCTAACATGTACTGTACTCACAAAATGTTCAATGTTTGGACTCATTGCTCCAGCATGAATTGCGTGGTGCAGCTTCTCTGCTAGAGATTGCAGTGAAGAGCATGAGAAGAGGCCACAGAGCTAGGGGGAGGGGCATGGAGTTCATTAGTAGAAATTTTATAGATTTTTAAGGTTGTCGCCAAGAAGTATAACCGTGACAGATGCAGCTTTGAAGGTAATAGCTGACACTGAGTAGAACTTCAGTTGTTCTGATCATTAACGTGTTAACTGGTCACATTAATCTCCATCTGACTTTTGGAAATATATCATCCAATTAGACCTATCCATAACATCTGAGTTCTCTTATGGTACGATAAGCTTTGTGAGAAATTAATTGTGAAAACATATGAGAACTATTAACTAACGCACCAGTAAAGGTGGACTAGGTTTTCATCGTTTGATTGCAACTTTTCTTTGTTATGTACAGGAAACCTTGTGAGCATGTGAAATCAAGCCTTAACAACAGTTGCTTCTGTTGAGTCAGCCCCACTTGCCTTCTATATTCTTCTGGTAATCGTATTTTTAGTTTCTCTCACTTCCTCATTTCATGCAGTTTTCTCTTTCATTTTTCACTCGTGACATGAGCTGTGCTGTCTGGAGAAGATGTAACAACGAAGGCAGAAATTCTTTTTCTTCATGAAATTTATGATGAAGGTAACTGATAGCACTGTAATAGGATTAAGAGAATTAAGAGAATTTGACAGAATAAAACAAATATTCCCCAGAGACGTGTGACTGAGGATGACCGTGCTGAATTTTTGTTCCTCCTTCCCCAAAATGAAGCATTCTGCCCAATACCGATCAAAATAAGTAAATATGTTTGAGCTTGTCTTTTTCATGTTGTTCACTCCTGGAGTCAGTGGATTTTTCTGTACATCGTCAGATCTAGAACTGTCGTATACTTTTTGTGGTAAGTAGAAACTAGCTTATTCTTTTCTTTCTGGCCTGTGCACAATAATTACATTAGTCTAAGGCAATGTGAGCTTTCTCTTCCATATGTTTCTTGGATGAATCAGGCAAATATAAACAAGAGTTTCAGCTGTTGTATATTTCTGTTATTAATCACCCTATTATAAGAATTATCCTGCATAAATGTAAATATTACTTCAGTGGTGGCTTGCAGTAGCTAAGAGGGAAGGTGCTACTCAGTAGAGAAAGCATGAGGCATATTTTGATTCAGGAAAAACTGGAAGACAGGGGTTTTGAATTTTGTTTGGAAGTTCTGTATTGTATAAATTACCCACACTGATTTAACTAATATTGTACACTCAAAATATTGAAAAAAAAAAAGCTGTCTACGAGATGGTACGAGGCTGGGGGTCAGTGCAGCTTTGGGGCAGCAAGACAGGCTCTCTCATGGTTGCTAGCTGTCTGAGCAGTAGGCCACAGGATCCATGTAGTTCACTGACTTTTTTCATCAGTTCTGCAGCAATGAGGCACAATGAGGTTGAGAGGGCCAAGCAGGTTGGTTCTGTGTGCACACATATACTCAATGGCAGGAAGGTAGGAATTTTAGGAGACAGATATTTTTCAAGGAAATAAACATGTCTATGTGCATTACCAGTGTGTATCACCTGTAAAATATCTATGTAAACTAAAGCATGAGAGGGAATATTTACCTTGGGTACTTTGCTTTCCATTAACACCCATTTAAAAAATATAATGAGTCAGTGTCAGGCCTAAGCTTGCAAACTGAGCCTTTGAGACTACTGTGTGTTTTGTTCTCCATTTCTCTACCATAATTTCCTGTACGCAGTTATGATCAAAACATGACTGCCAATTACCAGCAGTCAGACAGTCCTTTTGCACAACCCTTGCTCGAAACCACAAAATAGAAGACAGAGCTCATTATAAGTCATGATGAAGTCACTGTTGCTACCTGAGGTGGCCTGCTAGCCTTGGGCAACATGCTAGTATGGATAATACACAACTAGCATAAGTGGAGACATTTTTATCAAAGGATCATGATGGCATAATGCTAATATAAAGTGTGTGGCTTTGAAAAAGAAAGAAGCATATTTTTTGCCTGTTTGAGTGCAAAATGTTATTCATTCAACAAATGACTTTTCTTACTTCTCAGTCACAAAGTACTATGATGCTCCTTTTGCACTAACCATGTAAGCAATCAGGAATATCATCTGAAAAGACCTTTAATGTTTACTGCAAGTAACTAGATTACACAATGGTATAATATATACTTTATATTAAATTTATTTGTATTGTGTTTGTGTTTACTGTAAGTGTATACATATGTATGTTTTTAATAATTCATTGGAGAAATCTATTTTCACAAACTTGAAATCATTTTATCCTGTAGATTCTTCAGCTCATTATTTCAAGTTTAATGTGACACCCTGCAGCATGCTGAACAAATCCGTCTGGCATGCTGCTGTTACCTGGATTCCAAGTGAGTCACTATAGCCTAGAGAATTATATTGTCTGAATGCAAAAAAATAATAAAAGTGATGCAAGCAAAAAACTGTCACTTCATCCTAAATGTCAGTGTATTTAAGAGATACCTTTCTGTGATTAGCAATGGAATAGACAAACTACAGCAATGGACAGAAATGATGATTTCTAAGCAGTTTGTGAAGATAAGAGTGTTTGAAATTGACTGGTTTACGCAGGTTCCGTAGCTCAGTACACTGACTGGCATTGCATGTGCCAGTTTGAGGCAGCTCAGGTACTTCCAGAAAAAGCAAACAAACTTTTGCTGCGAACAAGCTCTTCTGGTCTGAAAAAGACCCAAGATATTTTAAGGAGAGAAAATATCCATGTACATCAGGACTATGAACATGCATACTCCAGAACCTGGAAATATGGTAATGAAGAGTGTATGTGTAAACCTAGCTTTGAACTAAACTTTAAACCAAGTTGTCAAATTGTGTAATGAAATGTGTACGGATAGTGCTTTCAGACGCATAGTTTGATTTTTGAGCAGTGCTGTGTGAAGCCTTGAGTTGTACTTGATGATCCTTATCCCTTCCAACTCGGAATATTCTGTGATTCTATTAGTCTGTGAGCTGCATCTTAAGCTTCACCTGCTCAGTAAAAATTCTGAAGCTGTGGTAAGGTTGCTTCCCTAGTAAGATAACCTTATGACAGCTACTAGCAATCTGGACAATTTGTTTACAATACCTGCCTAAAACTCCATGTGTGGAATCTCTCAGGGGTGAGCTATGGAGCTAAGTGAACACTGCTGTCTTTGCTGAAGAAATTGAGAGAGATTTTGATATTTGGCACTAATATTTCTTAAGACTGATGACTTTTGGTAAAAGAAACAAACTTTTTTCTGGAAAGAATGGTTTTCAAGAAATGCATATTTATTAGTTTTGAGGGACTCTAAAAAAATCCAAATTTCAGAAAAAAATAGTTTTTAGTCTAAATAGTATGTCTGCATATGTATTTCTTCCTCCCTACCAATTACTTTTTTCTTACTTGCAATATCTTAACTAGAAAGTGATGTTGCCTTTTTGAAGATAGTCTTCACAGTCTGGTATGAAGGTGCCAAAGCGTTGCACTGGAGAGAAGTTCTTTGCAGTGGAACTGATGACGAATATTCTCTGTGTGGAAAGCTGAAAGGAGGTCAGTGAGAAACCGTGTCTTGCAGGTTGCAGACTGTGGCATAACCTGGCCACTGGTTCTTGCTACCAAGCAAGATTTTTGAGAAGACTAACTGATCAACCCGTGCATATAGGATTTTCTCTTTCTGATCAATTCATCTCACTTAGAAGGAAAACCCAGAAACATTAAGGTGAAGCTTCATCAAGGTTAGCTGTGCTATAGCAGTTCAGCCTTCACTGAAGTGTCCTTTCTGTCTCTGGGACCTCTGGCTTCTGGAAGCAGCAGCTTAAGGCACTGAAGAGTATAATACTTCACTGTTTGAGAGCAAAGCGTCTAATCAGAGCTTGCACACAGGTGCACTCTACTCAAGTCACGTGGGCCAATGATTTCACCCCTCACCTCATCATTCAGGTGACAAAATTTAGAGCAGGCAGTTCTCTGGTGGCATAACTCTGCTAAGATTGAGTGTTTTCAAATTATACTCTTTAATGTCTTTATAGTGTTGTTTCCATCTCTCTAAATTGGGATTAGTAATACTCTTGTATTATGACACTTTTATTGCAAACATTTTTAAAATGACATGGAAAACTACACTTGACTGGACTGCACACAAAGCTGAAGAGGATCTAGGGTCACTACTAATATACAGACAGTTAATTCAGGTAAGAGTCTAGATGGTATTTTAGAGGTACTATCTATAACCACATAACATGTGTTTTATTAGAGAAGAGTCAATCCTCTAGTTCAAGCTACCCAACATTAGCATGACAAAGGCTCTGATCAGAAAAATTCAGGATATCAGTTCTCCAAATATGTAGTTCATGTTTTCCTTTTTTTTTCATTTTTTATTTTTATTATTATTATTATTATTTTTTTTGAAGTGAATTTCAGCTCTCCTCTGTTAGCAGTTTGTCTGAACTACTATTACAAGTTGAATACAGTAAGAAGGGGTTTGTAGAAGATGTTGCAGTAGCTTCCTATTTGATTTATATTTTCTTGCACATTGTCTAGGCAAACGGGCTGAGTTTTAGGAGAGTAAAGAAGTGAAGGTCTTATGCCTGGAAGAGTAAATGGCATTGGCAGCACTGCTGATAGATATGAGAGATATGCTATAGTGCTTTGAAGTTATTTATGAAGTTTCACTGATGGCTTTATGTTTAAGTAATTGCTTATATTGTGCTTATCTGTTTTACAGAAACAACTGAAACAGAATTTGACATTAAAGGTAAAAGAACATCATTTCCAAAGGTACTTTTCATTTTATTCAAATGGATAGTAATGTTAAAATAGCATACTTAACAGAATTGTACAATTACATGATCATTGAATCATAGAACCAACGACTCATTTGGGTTGAAAGGGACTTTAAAGACCGTCTAGTTCCAAGTCCCCTACCATGGGCATGGATGTATTCCACCAGACCAAGTTATCCAGGGCCGCATCCAACCTGGTCTTGAACACTTCCAGGGATGGAGAATCTGCAGCTTCTCTGGGCAACCTGCTCCAGTGCATCACTACACTCGTAATGAAGAATTCATTCCTTGTATCTAGCCTAAACACACTCTCTTTTAGTTGAAAACCCCTCCTCCTATCCTCTCTGACATTCCTTTACAAAGACTCCCTCCACCTTTCCTGTAGTCCCCATTTAGGTACTGAAATACCACAGCGAGTTCTCCCTGGAGGCCTCAGCCCTCTCCAGCCTGAACAAGCCCAGCTTCCTCTGCCTTTCTGTGCAGGAGAAGTGCTCCATTCTTATAATCATCTGTGTGGTCCTCCTCTGGACCACTCTAACATGTCCATGTCTTACATTTATATATTTTCTAGAAAGATAGGTTCAACTGAACTGTAGAAAACAGCAAAAGAAAATGTCAGAAAACTTTTTTGTGCTTGAGGTGACAATTCCAGAATGGCAGCATCTTTGAAATTCTAGATGTGTTCAGATTATTCTTCCTTTATTATTCCTCTATTTTATAAATGACCAAAAGTATAAATTTAATGTCACTTTAATTGTTCATTTTCATTTGGTAAGTTATTCTGTTTCTTATTACCTTTTTTAATAGATCCATTCGGATTCTTTCAGCCCATTTCACTCTTTTTCTTTTCACATGCTCATCTGTTCATCCCTGAAATTCTTTGCAAAGTTTTGGAGAGGAATAACAGTATCCAAAAGAAAAAGCAATGCTTCGGTGTTAAATCAGGAGTAGCAATTGTCCTCAGTGCAGCCCAACACCTTCCTCATCAACTTAAGCCTTTCCAAGGCTAACATTAGCCTTAACAACTCTATTTAACTCCGCAAATGTCATCAAAGAGTTTCAAATGGCATAAAATCTTCAGTCTCCCCTTAAGGCAAAGTTCTTGGGCCCCTGAGGAGGTTGGACATCTGAACATCTCTTCCAGCCTCAGAGCTAGTAGTAGACAGGGAGTGTTTCTGCTGTAAGTCCTTTTATATTTAGGTGTTCATGGTTTACCTGATGTTTCCTTATGGCTAATCACATTTTACTGGAAAGCAGAAACTCTTACAAACCTCACAGTCTAGCACAGTTACTAGCTTCTTGTATCAAAAGAGAAAGGCTTCAAAGGAGGTAGAATGGGACCTGAGTTCAGCAAGGGCCATGATGATGTCTTTTGTCCTGATATATACTAATTCTGCTTGTGTAAAGTTGTGATGAGTTGCTAGACAACAGCTAGATCTGGAGTTGTGCTGCTTAATGGGTCAGACTGCAGGATATACACGGGCAGAACTGCGGGTCTGGAAGGAATGTCCAGCTGACTCAAACACTCCAGTGTTGCTTACAGTAGTGGTCACTGCAAGAAAACATGGATGAATTACAGCTGGGCTGAAGGTGCAGGTTTGGACAAATAGAATCCTGCTTGTCCAGGAGCAGTTGTTCTATGAAAGGAGGTGAGCTGAGAGCTGCTGGGGACAGCTGAGCCACCACTGCCCATGCTGTGCACAGTCAAGTCATGCAGTGCAGAGCTGATCACTGTAACCAGAGGTCTCTCAAGTCTCTGGTACCATGATTTAAGATAAAGCCAAAGGGTCACTGGGCAGCTTGAGACCTCAAGGGGCCACTGTGCCAAGAATGGACAGCATTATGCACTAATTTCCTTGTTTTCTTTCTGGATTTTAGGGATATTATACAGTTGTTTTACAAGCATTCTCTGATGTTTCCGAGCAGAATGTTATCATGTGCTTGAACTTCACCATGATAGTGAAACAAGACCCTTTCTGAATTCAACAAACATTTTAAATAAATCCAGAACTTAGAGGCTCCTTCTGCAAACAACTGGAATCCATCTTACAAAATATAAAGCAGCTTTCCTGAGGTAGAACGCATCAAGTTCTGTGTGGAAAGCAACATGGAGTTCTTATTCCATTTATAGCACGGCTGTGATCAGATGCTCAGCCAATATACGCAGCTTCTCTTGGAGCTGGGTATCCCGATGAAGTCACAGAATAATTGCAAATGGTCAGATGGAGAACTGCATTTCAGTGTTGTGCCTTCAGTTATGGAAAAGCCAAGTACTTCAGACTACGATACATTCATTCAAGAATTTTTGAAGATTTGAAGAACAAGAATTGCAAGTATTCAACTTGAAATACAACAGTATTTCATATGGAAGAAATGCTTCTCTGTTTTTTCCTTTTAACAATAAATTTTTTCGTACACTCAACTTGTGAAATGACTTTTACTTTTGGTCATTATCCTGATGTTCAACTCCATCTGCACAGAGCTGTAGCAGAGGAGCAAAAGGTTGTTATGTGGCTGATGTTGATAAAACCTGAAGTGAAGAGTGTTTCCAGTTACACCAATCCAGCACAATTGAGTTTACCTGTCCAGAGCTATAACTACCACGACAAGGTTTTATGTTGCGTTGAGCAGAGAGCTGGGCAGAGGCTCCCAGGCTGTCTCCTTCAGAAGCAGGAGGTCCTTCAGCTACAGGTTGAACTTTTTCTTAGTTACCAGAAGCACGCTGAATGCTCTTTTCATACTCAACTTTTAGGCTTAGTGAATTAAAGCATGTTTTGTTTTGTTTTCTTTTGTTTTTCCCATTAAATGTGCCCATGGAGAAGCTGTGCGCACACTGGCCACTGGGTTGTGCTGTACCTGGCAGATTGCTGCAAAACGACCAAAACCATGAAAATCAGAACTAACCAGCTCTTTCAGGCTGCTCAAAGTATGAAAATTAGTGGAAGTAAAGCTTTTAATCTCACTTAACACGGAGAGAAATATTTAAAATTGAGGACCAGGAAAGGAAAAATTAAAAAAAAAAAAAAAAGAAAAGGGGAGTTGGGGTGAAGCATAGACATAAAAATACTAAAAACAGTTTCAAAATAGCTAGTTTGACAATCTAAGACAAAATCAATAAAAATATAAGAATCAAAACTGTGCTTTGGCTGGAAACAAGAAGCCACAATTATATCCAAGTGGCAGTAGAAAACATCTGAGATGCAATCAGTCCTCAGACCATGTCAGGATCTTCTGAGCACTGAGTGTTACTGCTTAAGATTGATTCAGGTTACTAGAGCTGTAAATAGTTTCCTCTTAACCTAAAACGTCAGTTAATATGCAGCCAGAAAGAATGATAACCAAATTCTACTTTTCTTTTTCTGTTTTACTTGTTACTATTACCTGTCCATGGAGCAATTTCACCGTGATGTCCTCTTGTACCCTTTTCACGTGTCCAACAATAGCAAGACAAAACCTCAAAAGGGTTTTAGTGTCAGTGTTCCAAGATCACTGTTGTCCTGAACAATTCTGGATGTTAGACTAAGCGCTATGTTTATTTAGTAACAGATACTAAAAGTGGGAGAAAAACAACAGTAACTTGGAATCAAATACATGCCCCGTGTTTTTTCATAAATCTGTGTTTTAATACCTTACAGATGTTACAGAAGTTTACAGTAGGTAGAGGTAGAACTAGTGTTTCTGTATCTAAATAGAGATATTTACAGATAACCATCTGTGCTCAGCAGCTTATGCAGCAGACTTTTATAGTGTGGCTCCAGCTGAAGGGCTATGGTTACACATGCCAGCAGCTAGGATTGCGACATAGAGTGCAGGAGCCACAACTTTATAAAGCAAAGACCTTTCCAAGGCCTTAGGCCTCTCTTCTGCCCATAATTGAATGTTTCCACTCACTGCACCGTTGATGACGGCTGCACTGTGCTCCCTCCTGTGAGGAGAAGGCAGAATTTCTGTAGGGTCAGATTCATACAGGCAGCATGCCCCAGTTTCACCCAGGCACTGCAGTATGGACGGGAAAGCTGAAGGTAGAACTTTGCTCCCGTACTCCAGGCAGAGTTGCTACAGTACTTTTCTCTCTTCTGTTGGTGCGTGTAGTTGACAAAATTTGTTATTTTACTTGCTTCCCTTCCAAACTTCTCCTAACACACTGTCAGGGCTTCTCAACGAAGAGGAGTCTTTTAGGACCAAGGAGATTGCCTGGATTCAGTAAAGAATCACAGAACCATAGAATCATAGAATGGCTAGGGTTGGAAGGGACCTCAAGGATCATCAAGTTCCTACCCCCTACCATGGACAGGGTTGCCAGCTGATAGATCAGGTAATAGATCAGGGTGCCCAGGACTCATTCATCCTGTCCTTAAACACTTCCAGAGACGGGGCATCCACAGCCTTTCTGGGCAACCTGTTCCAGCACCTCACCACTCTCTGAGTACACAACTTCTCCCTGAGATCTAATCTAAATCTCCCCTCTTTTGTTTAAAATCATTCCCCATCATCCCACCATTATCAATCTACCCTTGTGAAAAGTAGATTTCCCTCATGTTTATAAACTCCTTTTAAATATTGGAAGGCCATAATGATGTCTCCTTGCAGCCTTAAACAAGCACATTTCCTTTAGCCTGTCTTCATAGGAGAGGTGTTCCAGCCCTTGGATCATCTTCATGGCCCTCCTCTGGACCCTCTCCAAAAACTGTCTGTGTCACAAAAACTGTCAGGCCACTGACCTGGATGCAGTACTCCAGCTGGGTCCTTATGAGGGCAGAGTAGAGAGGAACAACCACTTCCCCCTCCCTGCTGACCATCCCTCTTCTAGTGGAAACCAGGATATAGTTGGTTTTTCAGGCTGCAAACACACACTGCTAGCTCATAGTTTTTCATCAACCAGGACTGCCAGAGAAGACTGAGACAAAGAACTCATTGTGTTGAGTCATTGATAAAGACATGTTTTAATTTTTCCTTTTTCTTCCATTTATTGGGTCAGCGAACTTTTGATCCTTTTTTTTTTTTCTTCATCCCCTGGCTCAGTCCTGGCTCAGTCAGAATTTGAGCAAATTCTGTGTAAAATAAGCCATTCACTGAGTACTTTTGCCTTCAAACATTCAGTGAGAACAACAGATTCTGACATATCTGTACTTTGCCAAGAGTTCCAGTTAGCTGTGCAAAACTCCCCAACATAAAATTAAATTAATCAAGGAAGGCCCAGTGTGCAGCTACAGCATGAACCCAACACTGAAATACTTCACAAATATCTCCTTTTTCTCTCCCTCATTACTGTTGTTTTTAAGAAGCTGTCAGGATTTGCTGCAGATGGGAAAATAGCTTTTCTTCACCCCCTCACCCTCTGTCGCCAAATATGTAATTATCAGAAGAAGCAGTTCCTGTAAAATGTGTTTTTCAGGACTCTTTCTGAGTGTTATTATTTGATAAAACAGAGAAGCACAGATAATTTTACACAAGGGAAGTCCTGCTGACCGTGGTAACACACAGCGGCTGGCACCACTTGGGATGGGGACAGAAGGAAAATTCTACATAATTCAGGTATTACAAAAGCATAGCTTACTCCTCAGGAGGTTCTGGGAGGCAAAAGCAATCATTCAGCCACCATCTAAGTTGGCTGGAGAAAAGCACTCACTGTCACCCTGAGCAGATAAGCTGTACCGTGCCTGGGTGAAGAGCTGGACATGGTGATGCTGGAGGCAGGTCCTGGTCTGTGCTAGAGGCATTAAAAGGGACACACAGCAGTGTTTTTCCATTTTTTTTCTGCAGAAAATGCTAGTAATTGCCTTTGGATTGCCAGTGTGACACACTGGGCTGAATAACGTCAGCTGCTGCTTCTGCCTGTGTGAGCCTGCCAGCACAGCGAGCTCAGGGGCAGCAGATGGGGATGTGACATTTGTAATGGGAAGGGATGAGCAGGGAGAGCCGGCGTGCTCAGAGAGCTCAGGGAACAGAGGACAGCGAAAGGGGCTGTGGAAGATCTCCTCACTTGCATTAGAAATGAGTGGGCTTTGGCAATCCCAGAAAGCAGTCCCTGTGCACACACATCGGGTCTGTGGATCCCAGACACGGCCTCACTGTGCGCCTGCTGTAGATGGGTATGTCTGTAACCTCCTTTGCCCCACATACATTTTTTACTGGCAAGAAATACTGTATATATATATATATATGTATATATATATATACAGTATGTATCTATATAATAATATATATGCTTTATATACATGCATATATATGATATACATATTTGGCCCAATAACTTATAACATTTTCCCAAAGCTTCTGCCTGCCTTTTTTTTCTTTCTTGGGCTTTAGCCTAAATAGCTACTAAATGTGCTGTGTTTTTTACAATTAAATTTCTTACTGCCGTAACTAAGAAAGCAAGTTCTAATAGCAAGCCTGGCTCTTTGCTCAAAGGACAGAATGATCACTTTCTAAATATAAAGGTCTCCGTCTGGCCCTCTTTTCCCCATTTTGCACAAAGCCTTCATGTACAACAGAGTAGATAGTTTTTCCCCAAGTGTAACTTCTGTTAGCCAGGAGCATCCACTGAGGTTTTTGTTCTCTGGCATGTTTGACATCTCTCCTGCAGAAATACTTCAGTATGGATTTGGAAGTTGGATTACTTCGTGTATACATTATTTTCAGTCAGAATCCATTTAGACATCTTATTTGTTTATTTTTTTTATATTTCATATAGTGACATAGATTACCAGTTTCAACAAAGGAATTTAAAAAAAAAATCCCGACGACAATTAAAGATATATACAGAAAACACTGCAAATTTTCATTATTAGTCTGCTCAAAGTATAAGAATTGAAAAAAACCTGCCCTTAATTTTCAAGATACATAAAGGAGTAAATAATCAAAGACAATGCAATGCATTCAGGAGTAAACCGTTGCTCACTTTGACCCTAAATTAACTCTACTTTTGGATGACTTTATTTCACCTCTGAATACCAGCTGAACAGACTGTGAGGCATTGAAGAAGTCTGTCCCATGTCTGGGACGTTTCGTATAGCGTAATTTTCCTTGTTTCTTTAAAGCTTGGAAAAGTAGATGAACAATCATCATTAATGAAAGTTGCACATATAACTGTCAGAAAAACAGACTGCCACCAGCAACATGAATTTCTGATTCTCATGGCTGCTTATCAGTGACTCTGGCTGCTACGTAGACAGTTGCTCTCACCTATAAATGTTTGGGAGATTTTAATATTTTAATTATGGAGGAAAGGAGTTCCTAAGAGCAAACAAAAGAAACCTGAAGAAACTGCTTGTCTAAAGCAAAACTGGTGCTCAGGGTTGTTAGAGTTAGGGTAATATGGTTAGATTGTTGTTGGACTTGATGATCTTTAAAGCCTTTTCCAACCTGAGCAATTCCATGATTCTGTGATTCTAAATATTAAAGTAGAGAAAAAGTACTCAC